AGTTTTACCAATGATTTTTTGGAAGAAAAAATAGAAAACTGTAATTTTAAGTAATCCTACACAGCATTTTCATATTCAGGCAAGCGGCGAAGTGCTCACTGAGCCTACTCCCGCTCACATGTCAACAGCAAGATGTGCTCAGCTGATTTTGTTGGCGGCAGCGAATCGAATAGCAGAATGTTGGCTAAGTCAGAAAGCTTCTATTCTCTTGCTATGCTACAGCAGTCTGTTGATGCCAGGAATCACTAATAGGTAAATGCCACATAGAAAACTTTGGGTGTGGGGAAGACAAATCAGAGGTGCATATTATTATTTTTCAGTATAATCCAGTCTATTGGTCTGGAGCGAATCAAGCAGATTCGCACGGGTGGAAGAAGCAGTTGAGGAGGAACGGAGAGTTATGAAATGAGTTTGTACACAAGGAGATAAAGAAACTCTTATATGTCGCCCAGATTTTTGCTTCAGTTGCGTATTATTTTCTTTTTTGAGAATTTTATCCTGTAACACTACTCTCCAAACCCTGCGCCAGCAAATTCAGCAGCTTACTTCATACATTAACTTCTGTTTTGAAAATCATCCCGCATATAACTACGACTCAATTTTTCTTTGCTCCTGTTGCCTTCTTATCGGCTTTGTTATCATACATACGGGATTTTCTATGTTTATATAGATTCTTTCTTTGATGAGCTTATGCTTGTGATTGTCAAACTATCTCTATATTTGGATGATATAAAAGAGTTTTGATTTTTTTGCGTAAGAAGAACACAGAAGGGAGATGAACTAACGAGGAAATGGTCAGAACTTAACCCAATCACTGAAAAAGCTGTGCATCATCGGACTCGCTTGAAACGATGATTTCAGATATACGCTTGTGTTTCTGCCGAACTACTATCTGGAAGAGCTATGAGCGTTTGATTTGAAATATTATTCGAGTTCGAACGAATATAATTTGTAGAAAGGCAGCATAACGGCGCGGATTTACAGTGCCTGTGGGCTCCCAATTACAAGGAAGGAGCACACTCGCCAAAACTAAATAAGTATTTTTGAAAAGCAATTGGTGGAATATGCGCCAAGGGTTCATTCGACAAATCGCGCATGTGAACTAACTCCTTTCACATAAACGTTTGGCAGACAATCATTTCTGTATGTATTTGGCTTAGCCACCTTTTGTGTCTTTGCTTAAAAGATAGAAAGAGTAATAGAATCGGAAC